AAGTTAAATTACCGTATATCTCTTTGCAACAATTTTCACCAGAAAACAGAACAGTAAAAAGCAGGGCTTGTGTTGTGTTGACCGGATAGTTCCCGTATTTGACCGTTTATTTTGACGGAGAAAGAATAGAAAGAATGACCCCGACGCATGCAGAAGAACTGACACTTTATTCGTTTCGCATATCGCAGATGTAGCTAAATCACTCAAGAAAAGATTCCCATCTGAACATCTGACATGGACACTGCTCAGCACAGCTCACTGTCAGCGCGTACGTACGGTGCACAGCGAGCTGAAGATGTGGAGAAGGGCTTGGAGCACGTCGCAGAACCAGAGCGCATGCAGGAAGATTCCTCCGACTGAAGCAAGACTTGTCACTTAGAAAATGTTCCCTGATTATGAAACTTTGGCTGAATACTGCTTGTTCCTGTCTCCAATGTGGCGACACATCCAGGAGCCGTCTGAGGAGAATCCCAGAATCTCACATCCTCGTCAGCTCAGAAAGCGCCTATATGAATACGCACAAGCATGACCCGTCAACCCGGTCTCACAGTAAGACCGGGTTGGAACTGTTCAGGTTTACGCAGACAATCTTTACATTTAGAATTGGCATACAGATGTAAAATTAATGCAGTAAAATATAAAGCATTTTATTTAAATATTCATTCATTATTTTACAAGCACAGAGAGCCGCATGCGGCTCCAGAGCGGCGGTTGCCGACCCCCGACATAGACATAGGGAGAGAATCTCATTATGTCACGTTGCTGCATCGATGCGGAATCACGCACGGCTGAATCGCGATGCATCTCAGAATCGATCATTTTTCCCACCTCTAATATATATATATATATATATATATATATATATATATATATATATATATATATATATATATATATATATATATATTGCTTTGTGGGCAGCATATACACATGTGGTAGAGGTGGTAGAGCGGGTTGCCTCATGATCGAAGGGTCATGGGTTCGATTCCAGCTCCCACCAGAGGTATTCTGCTGTTGTGTCCTTGGGCAACACACTTCACCCAACTTGCCTGTGTTGGTGGTGGTCAGAGGGGTCGGTGGCGCCAAATGGCAGCCTCGCCTCTGTCAAACCACCCCAGGGCGGCTGTGGCTACAAAGTAGCTTACCATCACTGGCAGTGTGTGACTGTGAGAGTTCACGCAAGCGTCTTTGAGTGTCCTAATAAAGCACTATAAGTTCTCATTGAATGCATTTTCTTTATTTATTTTCATGACCATTTACATTGGTAGATTCTCACTGAAGGCATCAAAACTATGAATGAACACATGCGGAGTTATGTACTTAACCAAAAAGGTGAAATAACTGAAAACATGCTTTATATTCCATTTTCTTCAAAATAGCCACCCTTTGCTCTGATTAATGCTTGCACACTCTTGGCATTTTCCTGAAGAGCTTCTAGAGGTAGCCACCTGAGATGGTTTTCCAACAGTTTCGAAGGAATTCCTACTTGTTGGTCCCTTTTGTTAATGGTCATGGTCATGAAAATAAAGAAAACACATAGAATAAGAAGGTGTGTCCAAGCTTTTGGCCTGCCACCTAGTGTTCAGTTCAGAACACAGCCTTTAACAATATTCCATGTCCATTTACACTTCATCAATAACACATACACTAATATTTACACATCACAACAAATCCCACAGTCGTTACCTTTATAATAAGACTAAAGTAGTCAAACAGCCCTTGTGGTTGCAGAAATCTTTAAAAGTCAGGGTATGTCATCTATGCCTCACTGACGTTATTTTTGATTAAAAAAATTACTTGGGTGTAAATTGTTTTTAAAGGTTAAAATGTGATTAATTAAGATTAATAAATTAATTACAAACTGTCTAATTAATTAGATTATTTTTAATCGAGTTCCAACCATAATATATATAAATATATACATACATTTCTTATACGAGTTTTGATAACTTATAAATTTCTTTTCAGTCTGCTTTGCTCCTCACAGTCAGCTGAGGTCAAAGCAGAGCAAGAGACTCCAAGAAAAGCTGCCTTTCCACTTGGTTTCATTACAAAAAACCTGCTAATAGCGGTTGTTGCAGAGCAAATTCCATGTCAAAGGCAGCTGGAATGGTTCCATCAACCGGAGGATGTCCTCTGGCTAGGGTTAATGGGAGTGGAGTGGGGGAAAAGGAACTGCTGAGAGTGCTGGAAGAACAAAATAAAGAACTTTTCAGCTTGGATTTCTCAGAGTAATTCAGGGTCAAAAAACAGGGGTCAAAACCACAACGGCATCGTAATCTGGCGTGCGCTTGCAATTGTACGTGGGTGTGTGCGTGTAATCCGTTCTGCGCAGCTCACATCATGTTTCATTTCCGCCCAGAATTACAGACAAAGGTCACCGTTTGACCTTTTCACAGCTAAGAATTGCGGCACCACGCTCGCCTGATTAGTGTACACGCAGACACGAGCAGACTCGTGCACGGAAAACCTGAATGAGAGCAACACACTCTCTCCAAGCAGAAAAACGAAAGTACAGCACCAAACTCAAAGCATAACAAAATCTTCTTTTTCAGCTACTTTTGTGTGCAAGTTCAACTTCCAAACGCATTTGCGTCTCGGATCTGAAACCAAAACGGGGGACTGAGCGTCTTTGTTATTCACATTCCTTTTTGGTATTTTCAGGTTTTTATTTCCTGTCCTAAATTCCTCAATCAATGGACATTTAACAATCAATGCACAATTAACTTGGGCTTAATGCCACCACACATGTGTAAAATGTCATGGTTTTTAATGATCGATAATGTGCATTTGTAATAATTACGTCTGCATTAAAGGCTTGGACCTGGATTTTACACACAAATTGAAAATGGTTCATGTGAGATGTGCACCATGTTTTAAAGAATCCCACCTATTAGTGACGTTACAACATCCTTTTTCATGTCAACTCTTAAGTTTCAAACAAAATGTCCCGTTGATCGGCGAGCTGAACCTTCATCTAATGTAAAAATGTAAACGATTTGGCGCTAGGAGCTTAGCAGCTGATGAAAAAGACAGACTTTATCGGGTCTGTGGTGAGATGGCGACCAGACAGACATCGGGGAAAGTTCACGTCTTGCCTGCTGTGCTTCTGCTGTATATCTGTAACAGCAGCTGTAGGAAGGGCTTCTTGATTATAGGTGAAGACAGCAGGTCGCAGCATTGATGCAGAGGCTGCTGAGGTTTTTATGCAGCTTTAACAAGTGTGTGCTCTGATTGAAACATTTTCCTTTAAAGCACCACGTATGCATTATAATGAGAAATAATGTGAAACCAGCTCCTTGGTCGCCACAGAGGTTGGCATAGTAACCGATCTGGAACCTATCAGCACAGGTGAAACAAGGCATCGACCAATCGGAGTGCTTGGTTAAGAGCTACCTGGTATATAAATGTCAGCGTGGGTCAATTGCCGCCACATCATCAGCAATGATGAAAACACACCAATACTGTCACAAAATGTCAATGCGGCCATGGATCTCAGCCTCTCGTTGTTAGGATGAATAATGTTTGCTCGGTAGGCTGCACAGGCCGTGTGTGTGAGTGTGTTTGGTGGGGAAACAAGAGTAAGTGCTTTTTCAGAGAAAGACAAAGCCGCGTTGGCTGACACAGTATGTAAATTGCTGCGCTAAGACTGACGATTTTCCTTTTTTGACAGCCTGCCTTTGTGCTCACGGTGGGTTTTAGCATAGCTATTTGTCTTAGTGGGCTGTATATTTCAGTCTGCCTAAAAGAGCGTTTAACTACATCTCAGTAAATCACCGCATAACTGCTTTGACGACACCACTCCACCGGCGCCAAATGGCATCAGCTTGAGCAGATTTTAAATGAGTCTAAATGCATTTGGGATGCACCTTTCTGTGTCTGGGCCAGAGGAAGGGCATATTAATAAGCCACCAAGCAAAAATATGTTTTAAAACATAAAAGTAACCGTGGAGTGGTTGGGCATCACTGTGGCCTCGTTTTAAATCAGAAAAGAAAAATGTCAGATGCACAACAGTTACTTCCCGTCAACTGATCGCGTACACTTAGACAAGAGTTTTCCTGGAACCAGGACTCATCTATTACCCAGCGTTCCTCAGCAGCAGCCAGGTTTCCCCCTGCTGTATCTTTACGGCCATTTCTCCATCATTAACGTAAAAAGTCTCCTAGTCTTACTAGGGGTACGAATCTGGTGATACAACCACAATAACGAGATGATATGGTATAGATCACAACAATTGCATTTGCAGCATAGTTTGTTCTTCTCAGCATGTGAACCAGACATGAGTCGATATGATCACCCTGAATAAACCCATCAGCCTCAAAAGCATTTCTGCATGCAGGCCTAAGAAAACCTCACAGATCGGACCTGGTTTTGGTTGCATTCTCCCCCATCTTGTCTTTTCCTTCCCCCCGATTCTGTTGTTCTGCTCTAGCGTAGGGCTTTGGGTCAGAGTCCACCTATACCAGCTGATGGATCTCTCTGGCTGCAGAGGGGATGGAAAACACATGGTCAGCCTTCACCCAGCTCTGAAAAAAAACTGCTGGTATCGCAGCGTCACGATGGAAATGCTTCATAGAACAGCAGGCAGACACTTGGTGGAAAGCCTCGATATATAACTGCAGTCCAGACGCTTTCTAGTTCTGAGAACAGGGTTTTCAGTATGAGCGTGGGCACTTATACAGGCACGCAAAAATTGCAAACAAATGTATTGTTTCTAATGGTGTGTGTGTGTGTGGTCATTTTTGCTACTTTGTTTTGACCTTTTCTGCAGCAAACACCGACCGCGTGAGGACTAGCAGTCCTCATGGGGAAGAAAACCGAAGCCTAATGAGGCAAAATGTCACTCTGAGGTCCTGGTCAGGGTCAAGTGAGGTGGTTGTGTTTAGGTAGGCAGTCCACCATCAACAAAGCCTTGGAATTGCTGCACCAGCTTTAATATCTGTCCATAAATAAGTAACTGGCCTCAGCCTAAAGATGGAGGCTGCAGGTGTTTTCTTACCTGTTGAGGCAGTGGCCGAGGCTGCAGGTAGGAGCTCTGCGATGGGCCTGTAGGGGTCTGCTGAGGGGGGCTGAAGTATGGAGGGGTTCCCTGTTGCCCCCCTTGCTGCTGCTGGCTGAAGCCCCCCATTGCCTGTTGGCTATACGGCGCCACCTGTTGAAATACAGTGGCATTAATTACTGGTCAGGACTTTAGCATTAAAGTCTGTATCCCACTGTTTGTTGGTGACAAAATATTTTTAAAAGGCACACTATTATTATTTTTTTCACTTCAGATCACAGATCACAGACACTTTAGCAAAGAGCTTTATTTCTCGCCGGGTCGTGTAACATAATCATTAGTGTCCTGCACATGTTTTTGTTGACCCTTGATCACAAAGTTTCCTAATTTTGTCTCAGCTTTGCCGTATTTCTTTGTACAATTTGGTCGTCATTTTGCTTCTAAAGTTGTGTCGGTGTGAGATGCGTTTCAGATACGTGTGCAGTGGCGGATCAAGGGGTTTTCTGAGTACGGGACCATCAAGGGGACCCAATATTTAGAGAGGGGCTAAGTATTAGTCCACAAGAGTTCACTCTGGAGTTTCCTATTTGGCTCATTAGCGCCACTTGGAACTGCAACTACCTACAACCTGATCATCGTGCAAAACAGGTGACAGGACAGAGGCACTTCAGGGGGGCCTATGCCCCCGTGGTCCCGCCCCTGGAACCGCCAATGTGTGCAACAGCTCTGCAACCATTTAGGGAGAAAATCAATTTTCTATTTGTTTTCAATTTCTGCAACAGAACAGCAAAGCTCTGCAGAATTCCCATAAACATTTTTGTTTAAATACTGTTGAATACTGATTGGTCACTAACATCTACAGCTCAGTGAGACTGGCTTAAATATTGAATTTCAGTTCAAATGTGTGCATATGAGTTTAATAGATGTGATACTACAGGAAAAGGCGACAATTGGAAAAGAAATCTAGTTTCAAACCTGCTGCAGGAACGTTCTTGGTATGAAAATAAAAGCAGAAACATTTCTAAACTCCCACCTACACACAAAATAATACATGCCTGAAATACTTTCCAATTTGTCAGATTGTCCCTTAGCTGCAGGCTCTTAATATAGCTAAGAGCATGCTAACGCCAGCCTCCCAGCAGCCCTCTGCCTAATGAATTCTCACTGCAGACACCTCTCACTTTACGTCCTCCAGTTTGCCAAATGCATCCACATCTCTACATTATGTCTGACTGGGTCGGCGTACAGATGGGATGAGCAGCGCTGGATATTACTGCATGCCCGTCCCAGGTCGTAACCTTAACGAGGGACACATGGATGAGTCGGAGCGTTCCAGGGCTGCACAGCAGAAATAAAAAACCGAACTCATGAGAGCAAAGCCGAGCCAAATGGCGATGCTGCATTACACGGTGGTTATAATACAGAACGCGAACTGGGAGTGCGTGTAACAAGCTGGCACCAACACAAATGTAGTCTTAATCCCTTCTTGTCATTTGTTATGACTACAGACAGTGCCAGGTGCTCCTTTCTGCAGGAAGATTTTCCCACACAGGCTGAGTTTTCTCTTATTCACACAGACACGCGCACACAAACCCAAGCACAGATCATAAAACAAGGTTTACGACCACTGACAGCACATTTAACGTCATATTTCTCCCCATCCTGTCATGTTGCTCTTTCATTCGGTGGACAGCCGTGCCACAGACTCATTAAACGTTCATACAGGCTGTAATTTGGAGTGTTTGTTAAGCTTGTCGTCCACTTCCAGCTTCTTCCCCGAGACCCCCGTTCTAGCCTTATATCTTCCTTGGTTTAGTAAAAGTCAAACTGAGCATGATTTATATCTGAATTCAATTTAATCCATTTCCCTCTGGTATTAAAGTATTTTTGAATTGAATTGAATTCATGGTGTTGAGAAGGCCTCCGATATGACGTAATGACGACACGACTGCCTTGTCAGACGAGAGCACTCAGCCAGAGCTAAAGGCTTTACTGTGACGGCTAGAAGAGAGAAAGCCCCTGACATAAAAGGCATGATGAAACTGAAGGCTGGGGCAGAATGGAGTGAAATCTGATCTGGTTGCAGAAAACTGGTGGAGATTATTACACATGAAACAGTTCTGAAGAGTGCCCTCCCTTTGAGTGGGTGGTAAGAGAAGAAATATTCACCCAAAGCTGGCAGGAGCTTTTTGACTCTCAATAGGGATGATTGGACAGTGGTGAATACTTTTCACTTCAGTGGAAATTTGATTAGAAAGGACAGGTTGGAGTGTGTGTCTGTGAATGTGAGAGTGTGTCATTAGGCCAACGAGACAGACAGACGGGGTGAGATCAGTCTCGCTGCCGGAGAGGTTAATAGCCTGGCCTTGCTCATGCCAACAGCACCACTGGATTCATTACTGCCAGCCAGACCTACACGCAGACACTTAGCATGGGACTGGATCTGTAACGTTTAGATGAATGCAAAGTTGCCTGCATGCAGGAACCCAAGAAACCAACACACTCTTTAAAAACACACACATTCCTCATCAGATGTGGATCAAAGCCTCTTTCAACAAAACTGAGGCACGTCTCTCCAATGATCAGTGATGACAGCCTGCTGTAACTCAGTGGGCCTCGACTGGAACACCTCTGTTCTGGGATTGTTGAGGATTAGGTCACCATGGAGATTAAGACCAGACAAGGTGGGCTCCTCTCCTCCTACGATAAGTCCAGGCAGATAGGAGCAGACACAGGATATATGCAGACAAATACAATATGTAAATATACCTCATAAATAAGGAGCTGATAGAAAATAACTAAGATTTTGTTTAGTTTAAAACTACAGGGAGACAGACAGCAACCATGCTGGATGCTAGACCTCCTGACCATTTATGTGAAATAAGAATTAAGTGACTGTCGGAGTAAAATGCACATGAAGCTATCCTCTGACGTCGTCAACAAAACATTTTTTTCTACACAACAACTGCTCACTCAGTACTTTCCTTTTGTCAGATCACAACAAAACAAACTCACTCAAATTCTTTCTCCTCTTGAGTTTTAATCTCTGAACTTCAGCAGGTCATCCTAGCTGCCCTGCGATTGGCTGATTAGCTACGCGACTGAACAGGTGTGCGTAATGATGACAGGAGCTACTAAGGTTTTCTAAATGCTTTGTTCGCTAAGTAGCTTTTGGTATTATGATACTCAAATCCTATTTCCTGCATGGTTGATGGTTCTCAGTGCTGAAATGTAACAAAGTATTTAGTTACTTTATCTAAGTACAAAATTTCTATGCAGTCAATTTATTGAGGCCTACTTATTGATTTTACTCCAATACTTTCTCTAAAAAGTGAAAAAAGTAAAAGTACTTAATTTGCGTTTAGTCCGATTTGAATTTAAAAAATTCTGTAAAGCTCTAAAACAATATGTGTTCAGTCTCCCATTAATGTTGCCGTTCCTCGAGCCAGATCGTAACATAAATGGAGCCAGATCGTAACATAAATGGGGGCTTGTCCGGGATTTGAGCATGGGACCTCTTGCCAAGTTGTAGCAGAAGTTTTTCAACCTACTGCGACTCATGCCAAACCTCTGAAGCTGTTTGAAGGCCACTGAGGTTTTAGCAGGAATTGAACTAAACAAACAAGTAACCCATTAACAATGAACACGCTGTCTTCATTCTTTCTCTACACTCGTAGTTGCTTGTTGGCTACAATAAACATGACATGCTTTTGTGTTTTGATGCCTTTCAGTGAGTAATGCCTATATGCCAGGAGATAAACTGCATACTAAAAGCATCTGAAAATAAGTAATAAAAAGCAAAAGTGGAATATGCAGGCAATAGAGTCAGCAGAAGACAGACAAAGATATGAAGGTAAAAAAACGGCATGCCTCCAGTCTGCCATTCAGTCAAATAAGCAGAGAAACAGCAGGCGGACTGGAAGTCTAACAAGTAGCAACCTGTCAAAGTGGCTTTGGGTGGGAAGAAAGAGTTATTCAAATGCAGCTTGTGTTTGATCGCTGGGGCAGACTGTATGAATGCACTGTACCTGCTGAGTACACACCAACTCAATGAAACCCAATGCTCTTTGACTGAGAATATGCTTAGTGATAAACAGACTTGCTGTGCTGCTGGTTGCACCAATAAAAAAACTGCTGGAAGGAGAAAATAAGACCATTTTCTGCCTTTTGCTTTCACTCAGGTGTGCGGAAGCAGACTAAATAACAGTGTGATTTATCCAGTGTGTCTTGGCAGGCGCACGGTGTCAAAAATGTCTGTAATGAAACGACAACAGATGTGAAGTGCTGTAGGGAGAAATGACGCAGAATAGACGTCCTGTGAAGCAAATAATTCACCATAAACTGCAGAAACAGTGTGATGAAAACAAAACGCCTTGGTGGCACATTAAGATACAAAAACACAAACACAGAGAATAACTCAATCAAAAATCTATCAAAACAAGAGTCGCATGAAAAGGCAGGAAATAACTTCCTCTTCTGCAAAGTGTGGGGATAAATGGCCATGCTACCCTGTGTGTTTTAAATCAGCCGTTTAAAAAGCTCTGCACCTTAACAAGGCACTGCTTGTAATTCAATTGGGCCAATGAGCAGGAGACAGAAATCTTCATAATTCTGTCAAAGTACCGACACGCCTGGCTGGTGACCAGGACCCGAGGTTGCCCCGGTTTGAGTGACAGATGGGCTCAGCCAACCAGAGCGCTAAGCAGTGCCACCAGCCTGACCCTTAAACCCACTCACACACCCAAAGTGACAGGCCTGACAGGCACACACACATCAGCAGTTCACCGCTGTTGGCATTTACCGCGCTACTGTACCAGCTGGTCACAATAAGTGAAGCCAAAGACAAAACGCTGCCAAAGACTGAAGACAAATAACGTAAAGAAGCACAGCAAGGGAAGACGTTTATGGAGACCAAGATGGAGAGACAGGCAGGAGGAAGATAAAGGACGAGTGTTACGCACTGAGATTCTTAAAGGCAGAGATAAAGTGATGTTTCACATGATAAACACAGAGATGGATAAAGACGGTGATGCAGAAAGATACGTGGAGAGAAAAGGGCGACGCAGACAAGACACAAAAACATGAGCTGTGGAAGAAAGATGGCGAAGAAAAGAACGCAACAATCACCCTGAGCCCGTAGATGATCGCAAAAT